CGGTTGGTTCCACCAACCGGGACCAAAGGGTCTCCTGACTGGGCTCTGCGCACTGCCCACGTGGAGGGCCTTTAGTCCCGGTTCTGGATTGAACCGGGACTAAAGGGGGGAGGTATTAGTACCGACACTTTAGTCCCGGTTCCAGAACCGGGACTAAAGGCCCTTACGAACCGGGACTATAGGCCCTTTTTCTACCAGTGGAGATGGAGAAAAGAAAAAATATCGGTTGACCGAATGGAGCATGGTTTGTAGGCCAAAAGACCAAGGCGGCCTTGGAATTCATGACCTACAGGTCAAGAATGAGGCATTGCTCAGTAAATGGTTGTTCAAACTTATTACCGAGGATGGTGTTTGGCAAACCATGTTGCGCAATAAGTATCTAGGCCAAAAGGCAGTGTCCCAGGCATATTGGAAACCTGGTGACTCGCACTTTTGGGCTGGCCTAATGGCGGCAAAGAAACATCTCTTTCGCTTTGGGTCTTTCGCGATAAAAGACGAGTCGGAGATTCGATTCTGGGAAGACATCTGGCTAGGCAATGCCAGTCGCAGAGAACAATATCCAGCCTTATATAACATTGCTCGTGATAAGAACAACACTATTGTGCACGTGCTCAGTTCATCCCCATCGAACATTTCGTTTAGGCGGGATTTGATTGGCCCCAGACTTATGTCATGGCATAATCTTTTGTCCCGGTTGGATTCGATTAACCTGACACAAGGTCGGGATATGTTTCGCTGGAACCTTACTACATCAGGGTCTTTTACAGTAGACTCTATGTACCGTGCGCTCACACATTCTGAGGTATCAGTGAGTAATAACAAGAAAATTTGGAAGTCCAAGATTCCACTAAAAGTGAAAATTTTCATGTGGTATCTTCGTAAGGGAGTTGTGTTGACCAAAGACAACCTCGCACGACGCAACTGGTCAGGGAGTAAGAAGTGTTGTTTTTGTACTCATGACGAGACAATCAAACACCTCTTTTTTCAATGCAAGTTTGCACGTTCTACGTGATCAATCATCCAAATAGCGTCAAATTTATATCCGCCCATAAGTGTTGCCAATATATTTGGTCACAGGTTGGAGGTATTCCAAATAGGTTTAAAGCGCTTATAAGGGTGGGAGCGTACGCCTTAATTTGGTCGCTCTGGCTATGTAGAAACGATTTGGTTTTTAATGGAAAAAATGCTTCTCCTATGCAGGTTATTTTCCGTTGTATGCACTCGCTTCATACGTGGCCTATGCTACAACGATCGGAGCACCAATCGCTGTTCAAGGCGGTGTGTACGCGGTTGGAACAGGTGGCTACGGAGGTTTTTTCCCAACATGGGTGGCAGCATAACCTCCGGATCGATCCACCACCACCTTCGACATAGACATAGTGTCGGTCTATAGGACTTTACTGTTGCCGATATGTCGGTTTATATTTCATATTTTTTGTCAGACTTTTGAATTTGGCTGTGTGCATCTCAGTTATGCAGAGACCAAGTGTTACTCATAATGTTTTGTATCCCCTTGATGCTATATTCTGAGATAATAAAATCGTCCTTTATTGAAAAGCATGGGCTGAGTGGGGGCAACACCTTTTACTATGGGCCTAGTGTTACGGGAGGCAAAAATCGAGTAGGGGCATTGGCCCCCACTGAGCTCAACGTGCGTCCGCCCCTGATCTCCACTCCTCTGGCCGCCTACGATGCCGGTTACGTGAAGAACCCTAAGCGCTGGGGCGTAGCGAGACATCTAATAGCTTTTCAATTGTTAATACACGTATATCAAAATCGATGCCAAAGCTTTGCTACATTGTTCATTGCTAGTGTGCCCACGGTTCCCATTTATTCCTGGTGGCACATAGTGTTTTAAGGAGTGAATTGCGAAAAACCACCATATTGAAGCGTAGGTTTGCAGAAAAGACTTTTCTACGAATTTGTGTCAGAAAATACTGATTTTAGTCCTAACCTTTTGCAAAAAACACTGATCAACCGTTTTATGCATTTTAACCTCGATTATGACATGTGGGGCCCTGGTATTTTTGCATAGTCACCCTTCGGGTAAAAGTATAAAACGCAATCAGCTCCTTAGTGAATTTGGGCTGCCCAGAGAGCAGAGCAGCAACACGCCGGCCATGGCTGATGAGTCTCGTCACCTGGAATGGGAGCAGAGAGCACGGCCGCGGCACAAGCGCATCCTCAAGTCGCAGGCGAGCCTGCTCTTGCTGGCGCGGACGCCGAGCAAGGGCGCCAGAGGTTGAGCCTGAGGCGCGGCGCGCAACCCGCTCGGCGGCGGTGGACGCGAAGCCCCTGCTGAACTTGGCGGCGAGGAGGGCGCTTGCGTCTGCTCCGGCAGGTTGCCACATCGGGCGGTCGCGTAGACGAGCCCTGTCGCCGCCTCCCGCCGCGGCTCGCCACGGAGTAGCGCGCGGTCCGGGTGGCCTACCTGGAGCAGCTGCCCCGACCATCACTCCGCCTCTAGCGCGCAGACCAGACTACCTCCTATCGCTGCCACCCACGTCCTGTGCCACCACATGCCAGATCCGGCCGGGTCCGATGTTCCCCGCCTCCACAACCCACGTCCAAGGACGGCCTGCGCCAGGATCCGGCGGGCCCAGTCTCCACCACACCTCGTCCCTCCTCCTCCCCGTCAAGGCGGGTCGAGCTTGGCATGGCGGGCCGAGCTGCGCGTCAGGGTCGTAGCCGGGAAGGGAGGTGGTGGCGCTGGGAGGGCGGGGGCGCGCCGGGAGGGAGGTGGCAGCACTGGGAGGCGGGGGCGCGTCAGGAGGGAGGTGGCGGCGCTGGGAGGCAGGGGCGCGCCGGAGGAAGGTGGAGGAGCAGGGAGAGGGTAGTTTTTTAAGGAATAATTTTTTAGGGAGCGGAGGACGTTTTGGCAAAAAGACCGTTAGCCACATCAGCAAATGGTGGGCTCCATCTGTCATAATCGTCATCAAATGGGTTAAAGCCATCAACTAATGTTTTCTGCAAAAGATTAGGCTAAGAATCAGTGTTTTTGGGCACAAATTCGTAGAAAAGTCTTTTCTGCAAACCTACGCTTTAATGTGGTGGTTTTTTGCAATTCACTCTGTTTTAAGAGGTCAAATTGGCCGAACCATTACCGCAGTACCATTAACTGGAGCAACCTGCTATGATCAAATGATTATTATCCCTGGCGCTGGCTAAATTCCATGAAATTTGGCAACGATTACCATCAGGTAAACACAGACATATAATTAAAATCAGAAACAAAACAGGAGAAAACTTTGCTGGAGATAACCACACGCTAGGTATTATTTCTCTTGCTCTGCTTCAACTGCGGAGATATTTGGACCATGTATGTACACAGGTGCTCTAGCCGGTGCTCATCTGGAAAATGCCCATGTGAGTTTCAGGCACATACGTTCCTTACATAAAGACTCATCCCTCTGCAAGAGTTTCTGGCATGACTCCATCCTTTCCTTGCTATCCAGAAGATGCAAATGCTGTGTCTGCTTGATCCAGCCTCACAGCATCGCATCGTAGTACAGGACCACATGGCATGAGCCCAACATGCTACTGCGGCGGCGCAAGGGCCGCGAGCAACTCACGGAGAGCCTGAGCGGTGTCGTTGTAGCACATCTTCACGACGGGGACGCTTCGGCTCGTCACCGCATCGCATAGCTGCCATTTGTGCAGGAGCAGTTTTATGTCAAAAGCATCAAACACGTCCACAAAGTAAGCTAACAAACTGAACAGACCACTTCTGTGTCATTCTACAGTTTAATTCTGCGCAAGGACTAGACTACGGAAATTTGAGATTTTTTATGTTTGACCATGACCAGTTCGCCGCATTGCTAGTTGAGTAATCTGAGCAAAATGCAATTGACAACTATTTATTGCATGATCTGAGTCAAGAACCATACAAACTTGGTTAAGGGGCACAAGCATTGATCTGCAACTCAGAGACATCTTGAAGTTCTAATTGGTACCTCAAAATTTAAGTGCACACCTGGCAGGTGCCTCGATAAGAAATTTGTAAAATAATTGCCGTGCTCTGTGTTTTCGTACAAGTAAATCATCTTGGTTTGCTTGCAAGGAAATCTACCGAAATTTAAGGGAGAAGACAGCAATCAATCACCTCATCCGTGCAGTAGAAGAATTTGTTGGCGAGAAGGGTGAGCGCCTTCCTGCGCTCATCGTTCTCACTTCGGGAGATCACACGGCTCAGATCAATGTACAAGAAGGTAGCCTTCAGGCGGAGGTCCCTCCAGACCAAGTCCCATGAGTCATCGTCCAGATCAGTCACCAGATCCTCCTCCATCGACAGAAGTTGGCCGGCGCAGCTCTTGATCCGGCAAACGCACCCCTTGAGCTCCATCCCTTCATCCATTGCTGCTTCTGTGTAGTTCCCTTTGCCCCTGCTTGCATATGACAAAATATCAGAGGCAATGATGTGGATGTATTCATGGAAAGGCAAAAAGAAACTGATTCTTGGAGCATGTCTAGAAGCAACAGATGTCAGCATGTGCATCACAGGAAAGAGGCCATGTAATGCAGCAAGGGGCAAAGTGGTCAGTGCAGAACACCATAAGATTGGCTAAGGATGAGACCTTTCTCAACGTTGCTGGGCATATTAAACAAGACAAGAGAAAGGACGAAAAGGGAAGCCAAATTCGGCTACCTTGTCTATCTTCAGATATCATCAAGGAAGGTGGCAGCACAACACAAGAAGCTACCACGAATTGGCCCAAGGAAAACGCGCATAATTTATGAGAGAGATAATCACAAGCGTTACCCTTTTTTCGGCGAGAAACCGTCACCCTTTGCAACCATAAGAATTCAGAGGGCAAGGAGAAGGTCGGAAACTTGGGAAATGAGATAGGGGACATTATAGTGTGCCAATATAGACTACAAAAATTAACTAATAAACTTGGGCTTCTGTTATTTATTTCAGAAAATTATAAAGAATGGAGTACAAAAGTATATAATGACAAAATAGATATGCAAACAAATATGGTAGTACAAGTTTGAAATTTCAGAAATGACGTATTTATCACCCATGAATTCCCTAATAAATGACCATTCATTCAACCCTCTATTTTGAAGTTTTACTATCATCTATGCGCTGTTTGACAACAACGTCGGATCGTTAATTTCAAAGTTTCTCAATAAAACATCTTGGATTCAGTACTGTTTCCCGATTGAATACTGTTTTTCTTAATTATTTTGGTACATACTTTAAGTGCCAGAAAGTTTAGATTAGTTGACCCCACAGCCACAGGGTTTTGGTTCTAGCTCGGCCACTGTCTGTATGACTATGACATCACGAAAATGACAGTCTCACCTGCTTATCAAACGTGGAACGTGGGTGGAAAGCACAAATCTTTACTCTAAACTCTAAAGTAGTTTGCGACGAACTGACAGTAACATTCTCAGTGGGAGGTGCAGTGTAATATGTTTCAAATGCTAAGCAAGTACTAGTAGTTAAAAGGAGAAGAGTTCGTCAATGTCAATGAGAGGGGCCACGGAAAGGTAAGTGCACGAATTAACTACTAGAAACAGGGAATGGATCAAACTGTTGTAATTAAAAGATCACTACGACGATCAGATATTCAGATTAAACGCGTCTACTAACTCTGCATTTGACAATTCATTCCTTCAGACTTGTTTTGAACCTGGACAAAACATCTTGGATTTAAATAACTGAAAATAAAACAAAAGGTTGACTGACAGAAGTTGGAAATCGCTACGACTTTTCTGGCACAGCAAAAGGAATCAATCGTAGTAGAGAAGAAAGAACATCAACGGAAGGAAAAGGAGCGGAGCGGAATGAATGAACTCAACCCAACCCAATCGAGCGAGTCTGATCGAACAGGATCAGGATCGGCCGATCGGATTCAGCTTGTTCCAGATCACGGCGAGAGAGAAGCAAACGAAACGGCATTAGAGGCGAACCAACCAACATAGATTCCCTTCCCCCCCAACAGTGGCTCCACTTACCAGGAATCAAATCAGGCTCTTCTCAGTTCCCCTCTCCTCTCCTCTCCTTCCCCGATAAATGCCAAGAGACTGGGTGGGTTAAACGGACGACCCCACAAGAAGGAAAACAAAAAGATCCTCAAAAGATGTGGAAGGGGGCGAATTCTTGCATGATGAAGAGGAAGGAATTTGGAGCAGCAACTCCTGCTTCCGCCGCTGTTTCCGTCCCACTCTGTCAGCCCCTCCTCCATTGTGAATCGACCGATTAAATTAAATCCCAGCTGGTAATGTCAATTAGGTGCAAGTGCAGGAATAAGCAACGAGGTGCGGAGAAACAAGGAGCGTGCGTGGCGTACCTCGACCTCGACGGCGTCGGTAGAAGTGGAGGGAGGGAGGGAGGGAGGGGAGGGGAGGGGGCTCCTCTCCTGCCGCGCGGTCTCCTAGGCACCAATACTGTGAGAGAGAGAGAGAGAGAGAGAGAGAGAGACCGGGATCTAGTACGACGGGAAGGACGACGAGCTTTATGTTGGGCGTCAGTTTTATATTATACTCCTATATGCTACCCTGCGTACTGTATCTGGTGGGCACGGCCAAAGTCGCTAGCTAGGACCGATTATCTGTGAGAGGTGGCGATGCGAAGCCTCCCCAGTCCCCATGCATTTGTCACTGTCCCGGTTTGGGTGTCGATGGGGGTCACGGACACGTCTTGTAACCGTTGCAAAGTGTAGAATCCATTTTCAGATGATTATTTTTCTTTTCGGAACGGAGGTAAAAGTTCTGCCTCATCTTATCGGTTTAACAAACCGACAAAGCGGCGAGAAGCCTCTAGGCTACTCTCGCGGCATGAGTGACCTCAAGTGTTTGGCGTCCATCGTCGTCCAAAGTGCGGCTTTATTCTTAAAATCTTACTTGTTATGGCATTTGGCATGGAGGAGACATTCCTAGCCACCCTCGTATTTCTCTTGTTCCGAATTTCCGACGAAACCAACATGATGAGGGAACGACCCCCTTCCTCGGATTTTCGTTGATGTTGACGAGGGAGTGCCACCAATTATTAGTGTGCAGCTCAAGAAGCCCAAGCCACACCATGAACTCATTGCAAATAATGCATCATGAAGAATATGTGCCTGTATTTTCAATTCTGTTTTGCACAAATGGCACAGTAAGGAGTTCGAGGTCTCAAGATGCTTGTGGTACGCAAAAGATGCCAAGTTCACTCAAGGTGGTGAGGTTCCAAAAATTAGTATCCTGAGCGATAATGTGGACTTCACGCAAATTGAACCATAACTCAAAGAAAAATCACCGATGTGTGTGCGTCGTGAGGCACAAAATTATAATAATGTTGGCAATCCAAGCCTCCTTCTCAAATAGCGTTCTAAACAGTAAGATATTTGCTTTTGAAAATTGCGGAGTTATATCTTTTGGCTTATGCCCCCAGCCACATCAAGAGCTGGATAGGAGCAGTTTCATGATCGCCAATTGAACACGGTGCTTTCATTAAATAGGACCACGTCATGGTCATCACAAGGGTGTCCACAAATTACCCAAACAAAATGGATAGGAGGGGGTCTCCCCGACTTTGCACCGAACTTTTTGGTTCAACGACGTGAAAAATGGTCGACTGATGTGGCGCACCATAGGCACAGAAAACGTAAGGCGGCAGCTTCCATCATCGTGCTTATCTCTTGAGAAATTTGGAATGAGGGTAGTGCGAGGGTCTTCAACAACATATCTACCTCCTCTTTCCATCATCATCTCTAAAATCTGCACTGAGGTGCGCAACTAGATGTCGATGGGGAGGGACATATTTGTGAATATTATGTCGAGAAGTAAGCTTTTAAATTTTGGTCTTCAGGCTATAAGACATTTTTAAACACTCTCTTACTTAATGATGCGGCTAATCTTTTGCCCTTTTCATAAAAAGGGCAATTTTACCATGGCCAATGGAGGTCATGGTTATTTCATAAAAACATGTCCATGTCATGGTCACCACAAGGGTGTACAAGACCCACCCATCCATAAGGGGGTCTTCCCAACTTCGCGGCGAACTCTTGATATGGTTTTAATGACATCAAAAGTTGATGTACCGGTGTGGTGCACGACGACACAACTGGCGTGTCACATCATGCTTGTCTGTGTTGAATTATATATGGGCCTTGGGCTCATATAAACAATAATTCATGGTTAATCTCTAGGAATTTTTATTTCTGTGTCCCTGGTTCCTTAGGTCTACTCATTCATCCCCATGCTCTTAACTTTTGCTCACTTTTCCCCACTCCCTTGCCCGAAACCCTCAGAACTGGTCACAGCGGACGTTGCCGTCGGGTCAATGGCTTGACTCTTAACTCTGACGAGTGGGGCCGCGTAGGGAGGAGTCCACATTTTGACCGTTACGTGGTAACCAGTGGGGCCACGAAACTGACACTCACTGTAACCTGAATCAGATCCAGTCGCTTCCGCGCCGCCCCTCCGCCGCCGTCGTGTCGCCTCTGCCGCCGTCATGCCGCCTTCGCCGCAGTCGTGTGGCCTCTGCCGCAGTCGTGCCGCCTCCGCCGCATCTACCCTCTGTTGGGGAACGCATTAATTTTAAAAAAAATCCTACGGACACGCAAGATCTATCTATGTGATGCATAGCAACGAGAGGGGAGAGTGTTGTCCACATACCCTCGTAGACCGTAAGCGGAAGCGTTATGACAACGCGGTTAATGTAGTCATACGTCTTCACGATCCGACCGATCCTAGCACCGAAGGTATGGCACCTCTGCGATCTGCACACGTTCATCTCGGTGACGTCCCACGAACTCTAGATCCATCTGAGGTCGAGGAAGAGTTTCGTCAGCACGACAGCGTGATGATGGTGATGATGACGTTACCGACGCAGGGCTTCGCCTAAGCTCTACAACGATATGACCGAGGTGGAAATATGTGCAGGGGGCGGCCCTCTATGGCGCGCCTCAAGGGGGGAGTCCTACTCCCGGTGGGAGTAGGATCGCCCCTTCCCTTGTTGGAGTAGGAGAGAAAGGAAGGGGAAGAGAGAGGGAAGGAAGGGGGGCGGCCCCCCACCCAAATCAGATTGGGCTTGGGGCGCGCCCTCCACCTTGGCCGCCTCCTCCTCTCTCCCACTAAGGCCCAATAAGGCCCATATACTCCCCGGGGGGTTCCGGTAACCCCCGGTACTCCGGTAAATGCCCAAACTCACCCGGAACCATTCCAATGTCCAAACATAGCCTTCTAATATATCGATCTTTATGTATCGACCATTTCGAGACTCCTCGTCATGTCCGTGATCATATTTGGGACTCCGAACTACCTTCGGTACATCAAAACACATAAACTCATAATACTGATCGTCACTGAACGTTAAGCGTGCAGACCCTACGGGTTCGAGAACTATGTAGACATGACCGGGACTCATCTCCGGTCAATAACCAATAGCGGAACCTGGATGCTCGTATTGGTTCCTACATATTCTACGAAGCTCTTTATCGGTCAAACCGCATAACAACATACGTTGTTCCCTTTGTCATCAGTATGTTACTTGCCCGAGATTCG